CCCAGGCCCAGGTCAGTCCAAGCCATTCTACCAATGGCAGGATGCTCGGTGCCATGTAAAACTCCCCCGCTCTCTCCTGGGCAGCCGCCCCATTATCAGGCATCGTTCCTGCGACGGCCTCGTTAGTCATTCCAGAGAAATTAGCTGCGGGGCACCGAGCACCTCAACTCCTGCAGAGCCCCCAGATCCCCGCCAGATTGCCGGGGCTCAGCACGGCTTTTCTCCTCGGAGCCTTTCCCTTTTCCTCTCCCATCTGCTCATCGGCATGTCGTGCCCTGTGTGTTTCATCCCCTTTTATCCATAGATTCGGGTTTGATTTATTGACAATGATCCAGAAAATGCTACTCCATGTCCGGCCATTTGAACTTAATTAAGCCTCCAGCCCTGGATTAATTGCATTAAACTTGGCTGAGCCAGCCTGCCTGACTGCCACCAAGCGCTGCACTCCCATGGCTGGGGGGGGGGGCCCCACCCCCCACGCCCGGGCAGCCAAGGGGCCAGAGCACCCTGTCTTCGGGGCTGGGCTGTGCCACCGAGCCCCTTTACTCCGCTTCCAGCATCCCAGACTCGGGCAACGCCGCCGAGCCCCAGCACCGGCTGGGAAGCCGCCGTGCTTTGCTCCACCACGGGGATGCTCCTTCACAGCTTCCCCCCGGCTGCTCCTGCCCTCCTGCACGGGCAGGGTTTCATCCCAGCATGCAGAGGAGACCCAGCTCGTGAACTTCATGCCGTTTTGCCCTTCACCAGACGAGCATTTCTGGGGCCGTGGGTGCCCAGTGCAGGCTCCGGCGCGCTCCTTGGCATGGCACGGCACGGTTCTGATCCTGCTGTACTTACCTTCTAGAATTAGAGCCTTAATTTTTATCCCTGCGTTGAGCACTTGAGAAGCTGCGGTTAAGCCTGTTTAAAGGGGCTTTTTTCAGGCTTGCTGGGAGAGGGGGGGTGGCACGGCTGGACGGGGTCCCGAAGCTGATTTTCCCTGGCCGACGCTGGCTGCGGTGCTGCCGCGTGGGGAAGGTGGCGGAGGCAGCACCGCTGCTCCCTCTTAATCGGCTTTGACCTGTGTTTGTAAATAGGCCAATTGCCTGAGCGGTGCCCAGGGAAGCGTGTGGGGCACGTCTCCGCTGGCTGAGCCTCAGCACGGCTCAGCGATTACTTCGGGCACTGGAGGAGCCCTCAGTGCCCTGCTGCCCACCAGGCTCAGCCCCAAGGGGCTCAAAACCGGGTCGGAAGGGCTGGCGGGTCCTGGAGGTCGTGTGTCCTCCTGGGTCTCCTGCTCCATCCTCATCACCTCTCATGGATGGTCCCTCCTTCATCCTCCCACCTCTCCTGCATGCAGGCGGGGATGTGGGAGCCTCCTCGGTGCCCCCCACGCTGGGATGCTGCATGCACCGGGATGTTGCGTGCACCGGGATGCTGCGTGCACCAGTGGCCCGCAGGCTCGCTGCCACGCTCCTGGCTCTGCCTTGCTGCTCTTTTCCTCCTCATCAAATATGTATCACCCCCTCTTAAGCAAAAAGGATTTCCTTCCCTTCTCTAAAGGCAAGGCTGAAATATTTATCTCCCCCACTCTCTGCCTCCCCCAGTCGCGCTGAGCTCACGGGGCAGGGACAGGCTCCTGCAAAGGCACCAACCCAGAAAAATGGGTTAAAAACAGAAAAGTGGAGCACCAGCCTGTACCTGCCATGGCGTTGGCAGCAAGGGAGGGCTCTGTTCCCTCCCTGCCGCCC